CTCGAGACAGGGCGGGCGCCAGCGACAGCAAGGGATGGTGGTGGGTTGGTTGGTCTCCTGGGCGGATCGGTGATGAGGAGAAGAGCGTTCAGTTTGGTCGAATACGAGTCTGAGAAACGGACTCTGCGTGGGTCCTCGAAAGGTCAAACGCACCAAGAGCTGGACCAGGGGAGTGAGAGTGAATGCGTGTCAGCGGGAAAGACGGGCAGAGACAAAAACTGGGGTGGGTATGTTCTCGTCTTGTCGAGGAGCCGGGCAAAGGAGTTTCGAGTTGCAGCCGCAAAGGACGGATAGACCAGCACGAAATAATAGGGAAAAAATTAAAAAAGGAAAAAAGAGTTTTACGAAAATAGTACAGAGAAGGACGTGGGCGTGGAATCTATGGGCTCGAAGGGGGCCAACAGTGGATTGGTACAGGGCGGTAGGCGTATAGTACAGAGTTAAGGTAATGGGTAATGTAAAGTAATGCCAACCGACAGACCAGTCAAGAAATGGTACGTAGTGTAAGGTAGTACGTAGTAGGCAGTTTCAGTCAACAGCAGTTCACTTTTTTCATTTCGCAGCCCAGGCCTTTTCTTTGCAAACGAAAAGACAAGGCAGGCAGGCAGGCAAAAAAGGTCAACAACAAGAACAGACAGACAGACAGACTCAGGCAAAGCAATGACCCGCGCCAAACCAGAACAGGTCGAATCGGATCAAAATGAGCACAGAAGCTTGCCGCAGAAATGACCATGCTAGCCTTGGCTCGGCCGGGCAAGGACCTGAACTGACTGACCGACCCAGCTTGGATCAAATGGATTGATTGATGAATTGACCAGCGCTCTCACGCTCCCATGCCCATCATCCTTCTTCTCCTTCCCGGTAGCCCGCCCTGTGAAGAATTGAGATCCATCCAGTCCAAGCAAGCACCGTCGGGTGCAGGGGTTGTGTGTGTGGTCTCTCTCGGGAGGCAAAAAAAGTAGGTCGCGCTTTCGTGAGAAAAGGAAGAAGTGAGCGAGGTGTCCTTCTGTTGCCTGCAGCTTGTAGCCTGCCTGTCGGCCCTGCCCTGGCCTGTCCTGCTCCTGCGCCTGTCCTTTTGCTCACTCGCTGCTCAGCCCGTTTGTTCGTTCACTTTGGTTTGGCGCAGCGAGCGCGATTGAATGAAACCTGCAAGTGCTGGGGGCGACCGCTAGTACAGTTGGCTCGAACCCACTTTGATTGGCAGTGGCACTTCGCATCGCTACGGCGGGCGCTTCAGACCCAAGCCGCAGAAAGCTGCACTCTGCAGTTCTGCTGGGGCCAGGCAGGGGTGAAAAGGAACTCGCCGCCGCTGAGTGGACAGCCTATGGCCTAGTGGAGGCCCAAATCGATTCAAGACCCAGTTAAAGTCCAGTCTTTTGCATCCCCTCTTCATTTCGTTTCATGACCGTCCATTGGCGGCCCAGCTGTGAACGCAACAACATTTCTCTCCTCTCTTTCTCTTGTGACGATGTGAGCCTTCTTGTTTTTGTTGTTGTTCTTGTTCCCAGTCAGGCGAGTCCGCCCACCCCTGCGCATTGATCTTCTTTTCGCAATCGCGTGCAATTTCTATCTGCTCAAGTACCTTTAATCCAGGTCTAAGCTCCCCCCCAAGGATACAGTGCGGCTGTCCCCCCTCCACATGTATCGCCTCCCTTACCCCCTCTTCCCAATGACCACACTGTCCAACTGCCGGGGCCTGCCTTGCTTGATAAGGCTCGCCCAGGTCCACCTGCACCATCCAGATGGCCTTCTCGTCTTCAATAGCTTCCCATGCACCATCCCCCAAACGCGCCCTTCCACTTGGATCTAGTCAAGTTCTCGAAGGCAGAAGAGTTGGGAGGAAACCTTGCGACTACATCATGACCAAACCTTGTTGCCGAGTCTAAAAACTTCGATGCTAATCGCCGTAGCCCGAGGCCGTGGAGGAGGAATCGAGTGAACAGAGAGAGCCCAGGACCATTTTCCCGAGTCTCCGGAGAGAAGCAATCCCTTTCCCCCACGTAACAACCTGCGTCTTGCGCCCCCCCTCGAGTTCTTTGTTCACCGACACATTCATATCGAACCCAGATCATTGGGGAAAGTACTGTCCGTGGCTTTTCTGCCTCTACCTTGATCTGCCTTCTCATTATTCGGCCAGTCTTGCACTCCCTTACTCCAAATCTTCTCCCGTACGCGACGGCCCAGCAATGCCCCCATCTCTTGTGAACCCGAATCTGCCTGCACACTCCAGGTAGCCAGCAAAGAAAGTGCGAGAAAAAAAAAGTTAACAACCCGGCTTGTCATACAACAAGACTCCATTAGCGCCGCTCACTTGCATTCAGCCTTTCGCATTCCGCATCAAAGATGGGTGACAGCGCAGGCTCAGCCTCTGCGATCCCGCCCTTCGTCCTACCGGCTTCATTGAGCGATGCACACGTCGAATCTCTTCCGTCTGCTGCCTACTACATTCCCGACTTTATATCCGAGGACGAAGAGCGAATCATTCTAGATAAAGTACGGTGGTTTCGGTAGGCTGCCATTGCTCTTGCTCTAACTGTGGACGATAGATTGCATCCGCCCCCAAGCCTCGATGGACGCAGCTCACACACCGTCGCCTTCAGACATGGCCATCAGATCTGGTCAACAACAAGCTTGTTGAGGCACCCTTGCCAGCCTGGCTCAACGAACCCGTCGTCTCCCGCCTCAAGGCTCTTCCCCGATCGTCAGAGCCCGACTCACCTGACCTGTTCTCAGACAGCCCACACGAGCGGCCCAACCACGTTCTCATCAACGAATACCCGCCTGGCGTGGGCATCATGCCTCACAAGGACGGAAGTGCATATCATCCCGTTGTCTGTACCGTGAGCCTTGGTGCGAGCCTGTGTCTCAACATCCACAAGAGTAAGGCCGACGGGGCATTGGATCCTGTCCCCGCCTGGAGAATACTGCAAGAACCACGGAGCCTGCTCATCACCACGGAAGAATTGTACACCGACTACCTCCATGGCATTTCCGATATCACAGAGGATGTCGACCTCTCAGAAGAAACCGTAGCGAACTGGACCCTGTTGCGGTCCACCGATGACATTGTTGACGGTCGTAATGCCCGAGCCACGCGCACTAGTCTGACCTATCGAGACGTCTTGAAGGTCGCCAAACTTGGAAACAAGTTCGCCATGTTTCAAAAGAAACAGTAGAATTTGCCCGAGCGGATATGCCGTTCAGAAAATGAGCGGTACCATGCTCCATTTATCCTTGATCTGCTCCTTGCCAAACTTATCGGAATACCACCGTCTAGTGCCACTGGCGGTGATACCAAGGTTGACTGCGACAAAGACCACGCCGCACAGAAGAGTCCGGTTACATATCTCGCCTTTTGGTGCCGCAACAATAGCCATTGCAAGATACAAGAGGCATTCACAGGTATAATGCGGGCAGATCAGATGCCGAAAGAGTCCCTCTTGCGGAAGAGAGTACTTCTTCAAGCCCGCCAGATGCTTATGACATCTATATTGCATGATCCATGCAGAGACGAAGAGAACTACGCCTGTAAACTGGCGGAGGGATGGCTGACCCAGGTGGATTGACCGCGAATTCGACTGCAAGATAGCATCTAGGGAAAATCATGAATACAGACAAGAGACAATGGAAGAGCTTGGACTTACAGGAGCCCTCGATCCAGACTGCGACACCAATGCCAAGGTAGTAAGCACATCCGAGCAGCCAGTGGACGAACCACATCTTGGAGGAAGAGGACGTTCGGAGCACGTAGAAGCATTCATACAGTCGACGGGTACCTTGCAAAGCCATGAGCAGCCAGACGAGCTGGACCTGCTGAATATTCATAGTTGGCGCAGATCTCCGGGCGACCTGGTACTCGCAGAGAGCCCTCAGGATGGCACCTCCACAGAGATATTGTGCAGCCCAGAATACTGAGCTCAAGACGGACAGGACGTAGAAGTGAATAAACCATGAATGCGGGACCTGGCCGAAAGAGGTGACCCAGCTGATGAGATCGACGAAGAGGCCACGAGGTTTGGTGGGCTCGACCGTCTTGTCCTCCTCCCCGGGCGAGGAATTGCGAGCGCCGTATTGGGTGAGGAGGGCACGCGCCGATCGTGGCGTCGCTGCGACAGCCAGCACGCCGCTCGCGGCCGTGATGAAGCAGACCTGACATAGGAGGGCGGGCTCGAGGAGCGGGTCCAGGGATTCGGCGAACCGCGCGAGTCTGTCCATGGCTACTGTTTGGCGATCGGTCTATGACGGCGACTCGTCGCGTTTTTCTTTGTTTTGGTATCGCGGCCGCGGGGAGATGCTCGCGTAGAAGGTTTCGACGGACGATATTGAAAAGAGTATGAAGTAGGTACGGGGTTCGACACGTCGGTGGCCCGAGGTGTGGCTTGATTGGCTCGAGCTAAATAGCTTCATTGGGGCCACATGCCACCCTTTGAACCTCACGTCCACGAAGCACCAATGCTGACTGGCACCTCACACAATCAACATATATCGAATCGACGAAAATTCATGTTCTGCAAAATTAAGCCATGGGCATTCCGGGATTCACAGGATATCGACTTGTTTATGGGTTTTCTCACCTAGAAAACAGAATGCAGGGACTACACCTTGGGTTTGTCAGGTTGAAGAGGACAAACCAGACGCATACGTGTTCCATCATGGGCGTTGTGCCAGTCGAAGCAGGAAATAGACCTGATTATGATATTCCGGAGCCCTGGACCGAAGTCACCCGAGGCCTTTTCCACCTCGAGCCATGGAGTTTGTGTTATGATGGCCTGCCGTGATGCTTGTGGGCGGACTTCCACTGTACTGAGTCAGTTGTTCGAAAACGTACCTCGAAACATTGCGACCATTTTGGAAGGCTATACGCACACTTCGAAAGGTAAAAAAGGTATCTTACAGACTGTAGAAAAAAGGAAAAAAAGGATTGCTTCACCAGTAGCTGGCAGGAAGACGCAAAAGATGCAAGAAAACACCAAAAAACGACGCAAAATGGTGCAAAAATACGACATTGACAGGATTCGAACCTGTGCGGCCGAGGCCATAAGATAACGTTGAAGTTCGAGTCTTACCCATTAACCACTCTGGCACAATGCCTAATTGATTGAAAGTCGAGGAGCTTAACTACGCATATCTGGGATGGTAGATGGTGCGGCAACGAGGCTCGCCGCAGGTTGGGCTTTTGGAGTGGATATGATGGCATCGAAACGATAGGTAAGGAAGGAGCGAAGTCATTAGCGTCAATTGACGGGTTCCAACTTCCAAGCTGCAACGTATCTATCCTGTCGGGTGGGTGACGAAGAGAGGGAGAATAACTAAGCATGCTCATACATACTCCGTATACTACCTATACTTACAAAAGTCCCTGTACAGAGTACGGACGACAGAATGTGTTTTGTCCTAAGGACGCAAATGTGCTGCTAGAGAAAAACAAAATCGGATGAATTGTGGGAATTGGAAAAATGATTTCGAAAATATTTTGTGCAATGTCTTTGAAATAAGTTTATTCTCGTGTTGTCAGAGGAGAGAAAAAGCACAAACTCGCCGACATCGCCTAGGTATAAAAACTTTTGCAAGATCACTGTAGCATATCATCCGGTCACCACGATTGATCTTGGGATGAAATTCATATAATAAGCTACAGATTCCAGAATTCAGCCGAGAACAGTAATATCATTTAGTTTTGTAGCATAATCAAGACAATCTTGCATCGAGGTGCGGTGTTGGCAACGTATCTAAGTATACGTACAATCTCACTCTCTTCGTCACTCGCTTGCCTGTCAACCTCTTCGTCAATTCGAGGTACTCTCGGCAGTTTGCCTGTTGAACGCCACGAAGATGGAGAATTCTACGGGCCTGGGCCACCTTTGTCTCGGAGTACACACTCTCGCCATCCCGAATCCGTCAATTATATTTGTCGTCTCAACTCTTGCGGCGCTACCCGAGTCTTTGTCGCAGCTGTCAAGAGTGACAAGCGTCCCCTTGACTGTTTGCTTTCAAGATTCACTGTCAGAGATCTAGACTCTTGTCAGCGATCTAGATTCTTGGTCTCGAAGGTTCACAATCGGGTCTTGTGGCAGCACCCTTTATTGGGCACGAGAAAGAGCATCGTAAGATTTGGTCAGTTGCACGCATGGTCGCGTTGGCTTCTAGACCATCTTTGTCGCCATGACGGCATATAGGAAGAGCAAAGATGCTCTTTCAAAGGGGGACAACAAGCGTTTAGCCCAAGCATTGAAGCATATTGCTTTGCGAATTCAGGTAAGATTTTCCAGGACGACGCATCATCACGTTGCTCAGTATAACACCAAAATCTGTTTGTCCGAGAGAAAAGCATCCACAGGTCGATCAAGATGGCGATGGACATGGCAATGGTGACAACCTCACCGCCGTCCCCAACGCAGGAGGGCATCGCGCCTAACTGCGTGCGGTGGATGAAGGCATACGACGTGGACAGGAGCGACACGTGCGCCGGCTTCGCGAGTCGCGCCCAGGACCACGCCGACTACTTTTACAGCCTCAACCCGTTCCTTGGAAAGAACGGCGAGAACTGCAGTCAGATGTTCTGGGCCAACTACTGGTACTGCATCACGGGCGGCACGGCGTCGTCGTCCGCGTCCACCGTGGTCAGCATTACCCCTACTCCCACGGCGGTGTCCGCGGCACAGGGTGGTGCGGTCTCCTCCAAGACGAACTCTGCCTCGAGCCAGACGACGCTGCAGACCAGTATCCAATCTGCTGCTTCTTCTACCGGCAGCAGTAGCAGCAGCAAAACAACTGATACCGTCAAGACCTCTACTGCCGCTTCCACTCCCACGTCATCATCAACTCAGTCCGTCTATGAGCCCAAAGGCGTCAAATACGTCGGTTGTGCCTCGGAACTGTCCACAGGGCGCGCGCTGCCCGGCTCGTCTTTCCAGTACAGCAAGATGTCGGTCGACGTGTGCTTGAAGTACTGTAGCGATAAAAATTACCCATACTCCGGCCTCGAGAACGGCCGCGAGTGTTGGTGTGGCAACTCGATCCCCGAGGCGTCCAAGGTCGACAGCGGTGTGGCAGGGAGGTGTACCACAAAGGTAAGCAAGTCCTTAATATCCTGGGTCACATTCGCCTCGTGAACAAGACATAAGGTCTCCATTGAGTCTGCCATGCCCATGGGATGAGCATTCTGCCACGGTGAGCAAAGTGCTAACCCGTCAACCTTCACAGTGCCTCGGAAACATGTCACAAATCTGCGGCGGGCAGTCGCTCCTCTCGGTGTATCAGAACAGCACCGTACAGCCGGCGGTGATACCGCCGACGGTCAACGGGTTCCAGTACGTCGGGTGCTACGACGAGAGCCGGGGGCGGGTGCTGCCCGACTTCCGGACGTCGGACGACAAGGCCATGACGGTCGAGTCGTGCGTCAAGACGTGCGACGACCGCGGCATGGCCTGGGCCGGCGTCGAGTACGGCCAGGAGTGCTGGTGCGCCAAGACGCCCAAGACGGACGCCCCCGTGCTCAAGGCCGAGGCCTGCGGCATGCAGTGCTCCGGCAACGCGAAACAGACGTGCGGCGGGCCCAGTGCTCTCTCAATGTACATTAAGCGCAACGGCGGCCTCAAGGACAAGGCCAGGAGGGACGGCGGCGGCGGCGGCAAGAAGAGGGATCTGGGGCCGCATGCCACGACCGTCGGCGTCGATGGCCGGCCTACCGTGGTCAAGACTGTCAGGATGGTCCGGCGTGGACGGTTTGGCAGGAGGGGTGCCTTTCCTGCGTGAGGAAGATGGTGTATGATTTGTTTTCTGTTCCGGATTCTTTAGAGATTTTATCTCCTTTGATTTGTCTGTATATATTTTCTTCAAGAAAAATGCTTCGCTAGCAGTGTTCAGTCAACATCCATACCAATCTCTAGAATTCATATGAGAGTGAACGAAGTACGATATATGCAGGGGTCGTAATCCATGGCTTTAATTAAACAATACTCATGATGAAATATTTCCACAGAGGTTTATATACTCAGAAATATCTTAACTTGGTGTTTTTTGATAAAGAAAGTTGGCTTTCTGAGTAAGTGGCTCTCCCGGTGGCTCACCATAGATCCGGAAAAGCCAAATACAACTCACCCCGGCCTTGAACCGCAATGGCACTAATAAGAGACATGGTCTTACAAAAAGCAAGACTCGCCGGAACGGGACGGGTTGCCCAGAAGAAGTCAAACTATGCCGATTAGGGACACTTGTATTCAGATTCGGCAACGCCAGAACTTCCAAGCTGAGAAAAGCTTTCCTGTCAACAGTGAACTAAGGGAGACGCCGTTGCTCGACTATATCGAACAGAGCGTTCCTTGGTGCTTTGGTCGTTCCGGATATCTCGGTCAGCAGACGGCATGGCTTCGTGATGACGCGCCGTGGAAAAGCGTCGACGGGAAGTATGAGATCACCGAGAAGGGTCTCGGCCTCTGGCGGTGCCGTCGTAGTCAGCTTCAAAATGATCATGTGCCTGGCACGGACGCGCCCTCGGCCCGGCATTGAATAGCAGTTGAAAACTTGATAGAATGTAGGCGACTTTGGAATGACAAAAGCTGGCAGGTAGCGAACCTTGATTTGGTTGAACGTTGTACATGTTTTCAAGGTTCAGAAGAAACAATATGAACCTCCCGAGCCGGGGTAACGGGCACGTGTCAAGTTCCAGTTCCCTTGCAGCTGGCAACAAGATCCAATTGGGTATACTGGTACTATACTGCTCAATATCACGTATAAAGCAGACATGATGGAAAGTTAATTTGGCAGCAACCGGAGCTCTTCTCCGCAAAACTTAGGGTGGTTCATCAACTTGACGTCGTTATCAACCAGGTAATCGATATTCGCTTAGGATTATGCGAATATGACGTCAAAAAGTGTCGCTTCCGACGATTGGGTGCGGGCAGGGGACCAGAAGAGGGACCCTAGAGATGCCCCACCGAATTCGAGTCGTCCGTCCACTGTAGCTCAGGAGGATCAGCGGGGTGTTTAGTGCACTGAGCCCTTCGAACCCGAGATTCGCGAGCAGGCCAACGAAAAAGAACACCATCTGGCCCGTGAAACAGGTCTTAGGTAGAGAAAAAAGTCGCCAACATCTATTTCCTGTCTATCCGCTCGGTACTACCTGAACCCCAGGAATTCGGTCTTCGCTACCCAGTGCCGCGTTCCCGGTCCAGTCCAGATGATTCCATCATGACCTGGAATGTCCAGCTTTACCTACTACTGCTACTGCTTCGCTAGAGTCCAACTCGACGACTTACTACACCTTACCTACCGAACTCATTATCTCACCTTGTGATACCTTCTCTTTGTCCTCTGCACCTACAACGAATATCTGCTACATTGGTGACCTTGATGACTTCTGAAACTGCACCACAATCTGGCACCCATCATCACCTATACCTATGACCCTGTCCCACTGAGCTACACCTCACGCGACAGGACCCTGACACATAGGCAAACACCCCCAACCGAAGGCAAGGCACCATAGACCCGACCTCCTTGGCTACCATGACGAACCACCACGATCTCTTCAAGGCCCTTGCGCCAATCGAGTGGGACACCATCAACCAGGACGACCTGCAGACTTTCCTGACCGACACCTTTGTCGAGGCGCAATGCCTGATCGACTCCATCCCCGTATCGACGAGCCTGCCGTCTTCTTCCAAAGGATCCGCCGCAGGGCGCCCACGCTCCAGCACCGATCCAACCGGCCCTCAGCTGCCCGCCCGAGCCCCCAAGACCTCGGAGCGCGCGGAGCAGCTGCGCAAGGAGTGGAAGGAGGTTCAAGTTAACCCCCGCGAGAACCCGCTCGGCGTCGATGTCTACAAGCTGTCCGCCAAGGACAAGAAGGGCGCCTGGTTCGCCCGGCGCAGCGTCCATGAAGGTCTGCCCTTCGAACAGTGGAAACTCGGCATGCAAGCCGAGTTCGCCGAGAGCTTGAAAGTCCAGGGCGGCCCCGGCGAGGGCAAGATTCGTGGCATTGGCGCCGATAAGAAGGTTGTCGATCTCACGGTGGACGGATGCGGCAAGATGGAAGGTATTTATTCATTTTCTTGCGGGATTCGTCATGATTACTTACAATTCGTTCTAGT